CACATGGCCACTGCCCACTGGATGTAACATTACACTGCTAGGTATTTCTAAATTAAAATATAAATATTATTAAGTTACATTTTTATAATATAGCATTAGTAAATAAGAAAATGTAAAAAAATACAAATATTTAAATACATTAATACTAAATAACAACGGTAATGACCAATGAATTTTGAGTTGAGATATGATTCATGGGTATCATTGTATTTGATTAATAAGATGAATTTCCGATAGAAATTGAACAGTTTAAAGATGGTATTGGGTCTGGGTCGAAACGGTCAAGTTTCGGATAGATTTGGTTGTTAAAAATCCAAAAACCAATGAAAAATCAACATTTAAGTATTAATGCATTGAGTGTTGAAATCAGAATACAGAAAAAGTAATCCATCATTTAATGGAAGTTTTTTTGAATAAAAAACTAGTAGCAAGGTGTAAAAGTCCAGTAAGATCTTAAAGAGTCTCATGACAATCAAGCAGTGCCGGGTTAAGGGGGGGCAAAGGGGGCAGTTGCCCCGGGCGGCAATTTTTTAGGGGTGGCAATTTCTTAACTGTGTATTTTATAATTTTTGGGAAGAATTATTATTCATTGAAAAATGTGTTTAACAATTAATAATAACAGTAATATTTTATTGCATATTTTTCTTATCGTCTACTACAGGATTATTCTGTGAGTGAGCGTTCAACGTATTATTAGTAAAATAGAAAGACCATAATATTATGCTCGGACCGACACATTTCTATTTTCGTTCATATTATCTTATTATTTTTCGAGAATAAATATTGTATATCACGTAGTAGGCCGCCGCGTAAACAATATGTATATTTTATAGCAGTAAACATTATTGTGTTATTTGTGTTAGTTTTATACCAATATGGCTATATTATTATAATTTATAACCATCAGATTATTCAATTTTATATTAATAGTTTCAAATAATTTATTTGTACACTACCAACCAACTGTTTTTAATTTTTATTATTTTATCGTTTGTTCGTCTTTTGAATCCCGTAGTAGTAGTGTAATACTAGTAGTAAAACGTATTCCTATCATCGTTAACTGTCAAATAAATATGACTGAAAATTGAAAAAAAAAAAACAGTATTAATATTACTTAACAGCAGTTTTTCATCAATTAATATGAGTGGAAAGCGCATAAAATTAAGTGGTGCTGAATTTCGCAAAAGAGCTGAGGAAAAAAATAAAAAAGACAAACTAATTATTTCTCAGACATCTAAAATTCAAAGTTTCTTCAAAAAGGTAAGAGTTTATGTATTTAATAATATTATATTGTAGTGTTACCTATTTAATAAAGAATAATTCAAAATATAAAATATAAATAGTCGCAATTTATATTTATGCTAAGATTTTTAAAACTAATTTATAGTTAATTGATACCTAATACTTCAGACTACGGTTGTATTTTATTACATTACATTTTTCTATTTTTTATTAATGGTGGATCAGCATTATTTGACCTATTATGCAATACTATTTGTTGACTGTTCACTGTTTTATTCAAATCTATTATTTTTAAGTTATTTTTTTTTTTTTTAATTTATACTATAATAACTTTATTACTTTAATTATTTGAAATATTTATTTTTTTAATAATTATGAAATTTATGAAATATTTTGGTTTTAATAATTAGATAGTTAGTTACTCTAAAGCATGTAATTGTTTATTTGTTTTTTTCGGATTTGATACGTCGACAAATTTGTTCAATCATATCTATATTTCATAAAATTTATGTTTTATATTTTTATTTTACAGAATGTAAATATTAATTTTATTTTATTAAGTATTAATTAAATATTTATTTTAAAATAATAATATAAATTATTCTGGATTTTTTGATAAACAAGATTAATTTTAAAATTGTTTTACCTGTGAATTGTGAAAATGAAATTAGGCAGGTACTAAAATATGATCTTTTAAAATTTCCAGAAACCTGAATCTGTTGAATTAATTGAAAAATCATTAAAAATCAATCAATCTGATGAACTTGTTGAAAAATTGCTAAAAACTGATGACGAAACTTTAAATTCTGATATTCAAGTATTTTCTAAAACTACTAATGTTCCAATTTGTCCATCACAAGATCCAGCTTTATGGGAAATAAATTCTGACATGATTGATTTTTTTATTCGTAACCCAGTTGTATCAAATCCTAAAATAATTAATTTTGATAATACTATTCGTAAATGTGGCGAATTTAATAGGAAGTTACCACATGATATTTTCAAAAGAAAACTTTTGAACGGTGAAATAAAAGATAGACAATGGTTACTATACTCAACATCAAAAAACGCATTATTTTGTTTTTACTGTCTTTTATTTTCTAATAAAAAAACACAGTTTAGTTCCACCAATTCAGGATTTACTGATTGGAAAAAATGTTTAGAAAAAGTTGAACAACACGAAAAGAATTTGACGCATAATGAATCTATTCGCATATGGTTCTCGAGACGTAAAATAACTACAGGTATTGATGTTGAGTTAAAAATTGAATTCGAAAAAAGAGAACTTTATTGGAGAAATATAATTCACCGTTTAATTGAAACAATTATATTTTTATCTGGCAGAGGTCTTGCATTTCGTGGCAATAATGAGACCTTGGGTTCTAAAAATAATGGCAATTATCTCGGTTGTTTAGAATTAATTGCGAAATTCGATCCATTAATGTCCAAACATCTTGACGAGTACGGTAATAAAGGCCGTGGAAATGTCTCATATCTGTCCCACACTATTTGCGATGAGTTAATAACACTTATGAACAAATATGTACTTAATAATATTGTAAATGAAGTAACGGTAGCTAAATATTTCTCGTTAATCGTAGATTCTACTCCCGATATCACAAAATTTGATCAATTAACAATTGCTATTAGATACGTTAATTTAGATGGGACTGCAGTAGAACGGTTTTTATGTTTTATTCCATCGGTTGGACATAAAAGTAAAGAAATGGAAGTTGCAATATTAACGAAATTAACTGAATTAGATATCAACATAAGTTATTGTCGTGGACAATCCTACGACAATGCCAGGAATATGTCAGGTATGTATAACGGCTTACAAGTTCGAATCAAAGAAAAATCAAAAAACGCAATTTTTAGTCCATGCTCAGCACATTCATTGAATTTGGTTGGTTGTCATGCTGCTGATGTAACTAAGGAAGGTTATAACTTTTTTTCACTTGCCCAAAATATCTATGTATTTTTTGCGGCATCGACATGGCGATGGGAACAACTTTTAATAAGTTTAAAAAATATACCAAACTCAATGTTTGTAAAAAACTTATGTCCAACGAGATGGTCATCAAGATTTAGTGTTTGTAAGAGCTTGAAAATCGGGTTTAAAGGAGTGTTAAATTCATTAAAATCTATAGCTTTAAATTTGGATCAGAAAGCTGGTATAAGACATGAAGCAGAATCCATGTATAAGAAAATTGACACGCTCGAGTTCTCATTTATGATAGCTCTGTGGACTCCAATATTAGAAAGATTCGATGCCACAAGTAAAAATTTACAACGTATTAATATTGATTTGGGTTGTGTTGTGAAATTGTATGAATCTCTAGAAATGTATATACAAGATATAAGAAATAGGTTCGATATTATGATGAGTTGGGCTTAAATGAGCAAATTAGTGGACATGAAATGTTCTTATGGAGAAAAATGTGAAAAATGTTTCACGATGACAATCTTCGAAACAATATTTTAAGATAAGAAAATTTAAAAATAACATTTTGCAATTTGTGTTAATCATTCATGTTCAAACGAAAAACTGTATATAATGGAATAGAAATAAAATATTTGGTTTTTAAATATGGAAGAAATTATTGTATTTTACGTGAAAATCAAGCAATTGAAGCCATATTTATAGTGAAGATTTGCGTGCCTGACCTCGAAATAAGTTATTCAGTTTAAAACACCATGTGCAAACATTTCTAGAAAATTATCATACAGTTTGTGAAACAACAACATCAATTAAATGATTTATGTTCAAGTCACATTCTCAGTTTAAGAGTGAAGAACTACTGCAAAACATCATTATCTAATGAAAAATGTCATCCTTGGCTCTAATGTCTGAAATTGTTCACCACAAAGTATGGATTAGAATAGTTTTATCAGAGCGCTGCACAGCTAGAAAAAGTTGTAATTCAATTATATTTATAGCTCTTTATACTTAGTACTAATAGTTCTATGATATTAAACTACCGATTTCACGATATGTTTTATAATTTATATATAAATTAAACAATTTTAACACTGTTGTTATGCTTGTTATTTTTATGATGGTGGAGTTTGTAAAGGCGGCATTTTAAAATTTGCCCCAGGCGGCATATTCGTTAACCGCGCGACTGTCATTCAAAATTATACTTTTTATATGTTTGAAATCGCCATTGACAAAATAATTTAAATCGCCAGATATTTGCTAAATATAACATAAATCATTTTGATTAATAAATTGAAAATTTAATACCGTTGTCATAGTTGAGCTTAGAATAATAAATTATAAAAATTGATGATTGTGTTCAAACACATAGTTTCCGCAACGAAATCAAAATTCACGCGTTAAAATAAAATAATATATGTTAAATAATATAAGACTGACA